TCTAAAGATCTGAGAGTCTAATCTCAAAGACAGACGTGCTGATCACTACATCAAACAAGTGTCATCCAATCATCAGCATATCTCTGAAGCAGAACGCGTGCACGCTTCTGAGAAGGCAAAGCGCTGATTGGGTGCATTGAGACACATGTCTGGTAACCGTTTTTAAGTATCTTTCTCAAATCCCCCAAAATCAGCAAGCATTTAATGAAAAGTAATCATGCTTTTAAATGGCAATCATGATTTTTCTCTCTCTTAAAAACGTTTATCTTTTCAAAATAATTTTGAAAACTCTATTTAAGCACATTAATCTCTTATTCTTATTCTTTATGCTTTCTCACCAACACTCAAGCATTTTCTACATATTTCTGAGTTCATCTCTTGCAAACCTTTTTCTTCAATTCATTCTCAAAACCTTTTTAGTGTGAACAATGGCATCCTCCAGCAGCATTTCTGCAGGTAATCAGAAGAAAGCATCATCTGAGCAATATCAAGTGCCACTCAGAACTCTCCTCACTCCGGTGAAGAACCTCGAAGTGCTTTCTGAGTTAATCATTGACTTTGAAAGCTTGAAGGAAAATGGTTTTGACCTAACTGAAGAAATTAGGGCTCAAAAGTGGGAGAGGTATTTTGATAGGTTGGTTGGACCAACATTCCCAGCGTTGGTCAAGGAATTTTGGATTCACGCCAAGGTTTCAAAACATCTAGTCATCTCCTCTGTCATGGGGAAGAAGATTGTGATTTCTGAAGATCTCATTGCAAGGCTAATCGGTCAAAGTGGTGGTGGCGTCCGTTGTGTGGACATGGCTGAAAGATGTGCTGATACAGGTGTGGTAGCTAACAGGATTTTCACTCTTGGGATGCCCAGCAGCAAGATTAAGGATCTGAAGGATCACTGCAGAGTATGGGCTAAGATTGTTCTGGGGTGCTTCAACCACAGGAAACCAACAAGTTCTCCTGATTATATAAATGTGGATCAGCAGTTTCTGATCTACTTTATCGATCAGAAGATAAAGATCAATCTGGCTCACTTCCTGTTCAACCATCTCAAAACCAGTGTGAAAGAAACAAGGGAAGAAGAAAGAACCAAGAGGGACTGGATACCGTTTGGAAGGCTAATATCAGATATTCTGACAGAGAATAGGCTGATTGAGCATCTGATAGAAGCTCAAGAGCTGAGCACTATTGAACCAACAATTGGGAAACCTCTGAACGCAAAGAATCTGAAAAAGATGAAGCTGATAGAAAATATTCAGAAGGAACCCAGAGCTACTTCCACTGCTGATATCTCCAGCAGAAGAGTGCCTCTGAGTGATTTTCCGGTATTTTCTGAAATGGAATCCAAACCAGAGATGTTTCTCAGGTACCCAGATGCGTACAAGGCAGATGATACAGATCCAAAGCTGAATATCAGAGATCTGCGTCAACCCCAACCAGAAGTGACTCTGAAGAAGACAAAGAAGAGGAAAGCGCCATCAGAAGGATCATCTCAGCAGACTCCAAAGAAAAGAGGTATTTCATCTGTTGCCCCTGTTTTAATTTCATCTACTATTCCAACATCTATACCTCCTCAAACCTCTCATAGAATATCAATTCCCATCCCTACCATTGATGAAACCATACAAGAAGAAGACCCTTCTGAGGCATTAAAACTCAGAAGACCTAGAACCAAACAACCCAAACAACCAACAATTTCAACAACAACAGCACTTGACCAAGTGCTGGCTGATATTGAGCGTCAACATGCCTCTACTCAACCAAACTCTGAACCACAAAATGTTCCTCCTCCACAACCAGAACAACAACCAGAACAACAACCACTCTCAGAAGAACCTCTGATCCCTGAGCAATCAGAGATTCCACCTCCCTCTCCCCAACCAGAAATAAATCCACCTTCACCACTTCAATCTGACCCTCACTCACCTGAACCATCACCGCTGGCAATTCAGTTGCCATGTGGAACCACTGTTATCATGCCCCAGTTACCATCCTCATCAGAATCGACACCACCAAAGACTCCCAAAACACCACCCACTCCAATCGAAATATCTGACTCTGATACCCCTTCTCCAAAACAAACAACATCTCAGAAAACCTCTGAAAACCCCAGCAGGACTTTCATTGACTTAACCAGTCTTGACCGTCTTGCTGATCTAAAACACAAAATTGCCATCCCAAAACCAAAGCAACCGGATGTTGGCTCTGGTATTTTGAATTTTGAAACAGGTGTGCTGCAATGGATTGCTTCTTTGAAGCAAGTCTGTCCTGGGATGATTGACCCAGCTGCTTCTGATCAGCTCTGGTCACAGTTCTGACTCTGGGTACGTGCTGAAGCCCTCAAGTTGCAGGATATCAACTATGAGCAGGCACAACAAAATTTCAGCAAGCTTCTGAATGAAGTTGGAAGTATGCTTCTGAAAGAGGACGTGCTCCCTCTGGACAGTGAACCCTGGTCTGAGAAACAGCAAGCTGCAAAGGTGCAACCATCAGAAGAAGACAAGACCATTCAGGCTGAAAGTCAAGCAGAAGATGTTGCCAAAAGTTCTGAGAAGCCTCCTCAACCTTAAATCTTTTTCATGCATGACCTTTTTCATGTTTTCCTGATTTTCTGATGTACTGTTTTGATTATGTTTTGTAATGTTTTCTTGCTCTGATTCTGAACTATTAATATGATTAGTTTTTCTGATCTTAATTATTTTAGCACATCACCAACACTTTTTGATTGCTGACAAAAAGGGGGAGAACAAGAATGATATTTAAATCAATAACGACTAACTAGACAGAAATTCTCAAACATTCTAACTCTATTACTTGAAATGTTTTTCTGTTTTGTTTAAAGTCTACAGGCACAAGGAAGCTCCTGGACACTCTGAAGACTAGAAGCTCTGATCAATATGAAGAAGCTCTGATCAATATGAAGTTGCTCTGATCAATATAAAGTTCTGATCCAAAGCAAAGCTCTGACAAGAAAAGCTCTGAAGCTCTGCTCTGACATAAAGCTTCTGATAAGTCAAAGACTCTGATAATCTGATGTTCAAAGAAAGAAAGATCTGATCCTGAAGAATACGTATAATCAAAGGGAAGTAATCAACTCAGGGGGAGTATCTCTTAACTCTGACTTCTCCGTACTTCTTACTCTGATACATTTTCCAGATACCTTTTCACGTTATTTTCATTTAAAATATCTAGTTTTTGTCATCATCAAAAAGGGGGAGATTGTTAGAACAATGTTTGAATCTACTACCCTATATTTGAGTTTTGATGATAACAAAGTGAAAAGATATAGTATTTATAAGTTTCATGAATGAACTATCTGCTGCCTAAAATTATTATGTTCTGACTTGCAGATACTCTGATTGATATAAGCAAGATCACATCTATTCAGCATCAGAACTTGATTTCAGACACCAGCATCAGAAGTTGCTACATCAGAACGTCAAAATCAGATGATCAACTCACGTACATGCTGAAGCCTGATGAACAAGACTGCGCTTAATACTCTGATACAGAAACATAATAGTTCATCAGCAGCGAAGCAGAATCAGAATGAGCCAAGCCAGAACTTGCATTAAGTAAGCAACGGTACTGTGCATTGAAAGCTAATCAATTCCAACGGCCTCATTCCAGACAAGATCTGCTCAAAAAGGAAAGCTTGTTATTAGCATTGAATCAAGAATATTGCATTCAAACGTTCATCATCTCAAGTGCTATATAAACAAGGCTTTGAAGATTATAATGGCTAATGCTCTAAAAATCTCTACACGCACAAAAGCTGAACCATAATCTTTGTTCTACCAGTTTTGCTAAACCATACACTCTGATATTCCATTACTGTTTAGCAATCTAGTTTCTAAGCTTCATCTTGTGTATACATCACAATTGTGATACAGTTTTGTAGAAAACATTCACACACATAGTCTTATCTCTTTGTAAGAAAGTGTTACCTTGACAAACCGGGTTGTGGTTTGAATCAAGAAGGCTTTAGCAGTTGTTAAAGCAGTCTGTAATATTCAGTTGAATATAGTGAATTAAGACCTCGTTGGAGAGAGGCGAAATCACCTTGACGGGTGGACTGGAGTAGTTTGAGATCAAACGAACCAGGATAAAAATATCGTGTTCATTGCTTTAGATTTCAGTTTTACAATTCAACCCCCCCTTCTTGTGTTTTTCACCACTTCATAACGCTCAATCGGGTACATCCACCTCATATAAGCTGGTCCACAATATTGTGTTTCCATTATAAGATGGACTGTAAGATGAACCATTATGTCAAAAAATGAGGGTGGAAAATACATATCAAGCTCACATAATGTGACAACAATTTCCTTTTGTAACGTCAGTAACTTCTCAGGGTCAATAACTTTGCTACAAATAGCTTTGAAGAAAAAACAAAGTTTAGTTATGGTCCATCGCACATTTTTAGGTAAAATGGAACGTATAGCCACTGGAAGAAAGTTCTCCATTAAAACATGACAATCGTGAGACTTTAAACCCTTCAATTTGAGATCTTTCATAGATACCAAACTCTTAATGTTTGATGAGTAGCCCTCTGGAACTTTAACATTGAGAAGAACCTTACACAAGATCTTTTTCTCTTTTCTTGACAGAGTATGAGCTGCTGGAGGTAGAAATGTACGCTTCCCATCCCTCTTAACCGGCTGTAACTCATTTCTTAATCCCATACTTTGCAGGTCTAACCTTGCATTAATGCCATCCTTAGACTTTCCTGGAAGATTGAGTAATGTACCAACGACACTTTCAAACACATTTTTTTCTATATGCATCACATCAAGGAAATGTATAACATACAATGACTTCCAATACGGCAATTCAAAGAAAATTGACTTTTTTTTCCATCCTCCCTTTACAAGTTCACTTGAAAATGGCTTTCCAAAATTAGTGCTCAAAAGCTTTACCTTTTGGTATAATTGATCACCCGTCAAAGCCAAAGGAGCTCTATTTTCTTCTGATTCACCATTAAAAGCTTTTCTCCATTTTCGAAAATGATGGTTGGTATTTAAAAATCTACGGTGTCCAAGAAATACATTCTTCATACAATACTCCAATCGTATTGAATGTGTACCATCTTCACATACGGGGCATGCAAATTTTCCTTTGACACTATAGCCTGATAGATTCCCATAGGCAGGAAAATCATTGATTGTTCCAAATAACATAGCCCTCAAGTTGAAGGATTCTTTTTTATACTCATCATATACCTCCACACCTGTCTCCCACATATGCTTTAAATCTTCAATTAATGGAGCCAAGTATACATCTATATCATTTCCTGGTTGCTTGGGCCCAGAAATTAACATACTCAACATCGTGTATTTGCGCTTCATACATAGCCATGGAGGTAGGTTATAAATCAACAAAATGACTGGCCAAGAAGTAAGTTTACTACTTTGAATACCATGAGGACTTATTCCGTCAGTAGACAATGCAAGACGTAGGTTTCTTTCTTCCTTCCCAAAATTTGGGTAATCATGATCAATTTTTGCCCATTGAGGAGAATCTGCGGGATGTCGGAGCATTCCATCAACAACCCTTTCATTTGCATGCCATGTTAAGTTCTTTGCGTCTTCTGCATTATGATACATGCGCCTAAATCTTGGTATTATCGGAAAATACCATAGCGTTTTGGCTGGAGCTGATTCTTTCTTCTTATAGCGTGGGGCACTACATTTAGGACACATATTCAACGATGCATACTCCTTGCGAAATAAAATGCAATCATTTGGACAAGCATGTATCTTCTCGTAACTCATGCCAATAGAATATAACAATTGTTTAGACTCATACGTTCGACTAGGGAGCACGTTGTTCTCAGGCAAAATATCCTTTAACAGAGTCAACAAGTCTGTGAAGCTCCTATCGGACCATCCATGGCGTGCTTTTAAGTTATACAACTTTAAGACCGTTGACAGTCTTGTGAATTTATTACATCCATCATACAACGGAGTCTCTGCATCACTTACTATCCGCTCAAACATTTGAGGACAATCACGAAGATCTTCCTCAATTACATTGACAAATTCTTCAACTCGATCAAATGCATAATTCGTATCTTTTTCAAAATCATTTGATGAATCTCTCCCATTGCTCCTTTTTGTGGACTTGGTTTTTTTTTCCCCGTGCATTATCCAGCATGTGTAGCTTTTATCAATTCCATTACATATTAAGTGATCTTCCAAAACATTTGCACTAACATCCGTATAACAACATTCTAAGCAAGGGCATATGATTTTACTAGTGTCTTCAGCATGAGCAATAGCAAACCTAACAAACTCACGAACTCCATCTTCATATTCTTTTGACGCTCGATTGGCAAACATCCATTTTCGATCCATATTTCCTAACAAGTAACATATATAACTAGTTAAAAATTGGTTCTAACAACCAAATTATGTATTTAAGAGTCATATAGCATATGAGATTATGAATTTGATTTTGACTTTATGATCCATATGAGATTATGAATTTGATTTTGACTTTATGATGAACTTGAGTTTGAGCAGGATATACGAAGGAAAATAGCAGCCTTGTGGTGATTGGGCTGAGTGTGCATACTACACCGGTGGAGTTGCGTGAGAAACTTGCTATACCAGAAGCTGAATGGCCAAGAGCCATTGGTGAGCTTTGTGGTTTGAATCATATTGAAGAAGCAGCTGTTCTTAGTACGTGTAACAGAATGGACATTTATGTTGTTGCACTTTCTCAGCATCGTGGTATCAAAGAAGTCACTGAATGGATGTCAAGTGTAGGTTCTATCATCACTTGTTTATCTATAAGCACTTCTTATGAAAATAAAATGCCAATAAAAAGAACCGTCTTTGAGGGTGTATAAGTTGGGCTATTGCGCATAACCCCAAAGCCCAAAATTTGTCACACTAAAACCGTGGTTAAAAAAGGTTTCATAAAATATTATCATGATTAAACAAAACTTTTACTTGTTTTGTCATAGTTAAACTTCAACTAACCAACACAAAGCTTTCAAAAATTTGAGACGGCTATGTCAATAGATATATTTAGATAGATTTATTTGAGTTTATGTATTGATATAAACATTTGTAAGACTATTTTGGTGAGTGTATGAAAATTACTTATGGTATTTTCAGGCAGCCATTTTGTTATCAAACTTGTCATTTGAGACTGTTGGGAATGTAATGGAACCAGAACAGTTATGCGACGCGGTTAATTTTATTTTATCCCTGCAGGTATATGTTTGGTATTTGATGGAGTAATTGAAAATTCTGAGCAACTTAAATACTTCAATTGAATTACCTTCATTTCTAATTTTTCGAGATTTCATTAAGCACTATTACTAAGTATTCAGGAATAAGAAAAATGGTTTTGTTCAAATTTAATTAGAACTTCAACCACTAGGCATCATTGGCTTAATCATTTTGCTCGTCGGCATTAAATATATTACAGAATAGAAATGGTGGATTTGCTTCCTACGAACTCACACGATCTTATGCATGGCTGGAGGTACAACAAATTACTTTCTCTATTGTAGATTCAATTCTTAAATGATTTAACACTTAATTGGTTTCTGTGACAGAAAATAAATCCAACTGAAACATTCGAAGATATCACCATTGATTATCAGTATGTACCTGACATTGACACATTTCCTTGTAACAATTTCTGTCTGTCAATTTGTGAAAAATGAGTCCAATATAGGTATGTAGAATGCACATCAGCAGCGATTCAAAGCCTCACCTTATTCACTCAACGATATCTGCAGCACAGGAAGGTGGAAATAGAGACCTGCATAGCTAAGGCTGCAAACTTCATCGAAAGCGTATAGCTAGCTGATGGCTCATGGTTTGGTTTGCTTTACTAGTCCAGTAACTTAATATTCAACAAAATGATTTTAATTTCGTAACGCGGGTTTAACGAAATAGGTATGGATCATGGGGGGTATGCTTTACATATGGGACATGGTTTGGAATAATTGGGCTTATAAGAGCAGGTAAGAGGTACAAAGATAGCAAAAGCATTAGAAAGGCATGTGAGTCTTTGCTTTCAAAACAAGACAAGGTTTGTGGTGGCATACCTGCATCAGAGCTTTCACAGTATCTATTTCCGCTATACAACAAAGATGCAACCCAACACCTTTTTGAAGTATCAGCAGGACTTGATTCTCTTGTAATGGGAGAAGGTCAGATCCTTGCACAAGTCAAGCAAGTTGTGAAAGCAGGACAAGGAGTTAATGGATTTGGAAGAAACATCAGTGGATTATTCAAGCACGCAATCACCGTCGGCAAAAGAGTCCGAACCGAAACCAACATTTCGGCCGGAGCAGTTTCTGTGAGCTCGGCTGCGGTCGAGTTGGCAGTGATGAAGTTACCTGATCAAGCCTCACATGGAAATGCAAGAATGCTAGTTATTGGAGCTGGCAAAATGGGGAAGCTTGTGATTAAGCATTTGGTTGCAAAAGGGTGTAAAAAGATGGTAGTAGTTAATCGAACCGAAGAGAGAGTATCTGCGATCCGCGATGAAATAAACGATGTCGAGATAATCTACAAACCGCTTTCTGATATGCTCGAATGCGTAGGCGAAGCGGATGTAGTTTTCACAAGCACGGCATCAGAGAATCCTTTGATTTTAAAACAACATGTTAAGGAACTTCCTTTCGCAAGCGAAGAAATGGGACGAAAGCGCCTCTTCATCGATATTTCTGTTCCGAGGAACGTAGGTTCGTGCGTCGATGACCTCGAATCAGTCAAAGTTTACAATGTCGACAACCTTAAAGAGGTAGTGGCTGCTAACAAAGAGGACAGACTAAGAAAAGCAATGGAAGCACAAGTGATCATCGGCGAAGAATCGGGCCAATTCGAAGCATGGAGAGACTCGTTAGAAAATGTTCCTACTATCAAGAAACTGAGAGCTTATGCTGAAAGGTTAAGGATTGTTGAGGTTGAGAAATGTTTAGGTAAAATGAGTGATGAGGATATAAATAAGAAGACACAAAAAGCAGTGGATGATCTTGGTAGAGGTATAGTGAATAAAATGCTTCATGGTCCAATGCAACATTTGAGATGTGATGGGAGTGATAGTAGGACTTTGAGTGAAACACTTGAGAATATGCATGCTTTGAATAGAATGTTTGGTCTTGAAACTGAGGTTTCTGTTTTGGAGCAGAAGATTAGAGCTAAAGTGGAGCAAAAACCATAGTGAGATTAATATGAGACCATTGTTGTTGATTAAACTCATTTGTTTAGGATTGAGAATCATGTCAAAAGACAATGATAAAACAGAGAACAATAATAAAACCTCAACATTGTATGAAAAACATAGAACAGTGATGAAACCAACCTGAATGTAGTTAATTATATCAAAGTTTGCAAGTCTTGATCCACCCTCTTGCTGTCTACAGAGCCACTGATCAAGTTTTTCCTGAAATAAAAAAAACATCCAACATTAACGAAATGCCAATTTTTGCTTGGATTGAAAAGAAGAATCGATTAATTGTGACTAAATCACACCAAAACAACAGAAGCCTTATCACTCAAACTAGAACAAACTTTTCAACTCATCTTCAACCAATGTACTGACTTTTTTGCTCTCCATAAAACTTCATTCCTCTCTTCTCTTCCTTCTTCCATGTCTACATTCTTTCTTCTGCACTCAACTCAGATGGCATAGCACTTATATCATTCAATTCCCACTAGATATCACTTCCGCCTCTCATAAACTCAACATGAGTTCCGTCTCATTCAAAACCATACTCATGGGCTGGTCTCAAATACAACTCTTTCCACCGTGTAATCTCTCTCAACATTGATATTTACGGTTAACTAGGACTAGAAATTGAAAATTGCACACAAATTCAACACATAGACCTTACTTAAAACTAATTCAATGGCCAAATACCTTACACTTCATGCCACTACTCACAACTGCTCACATCAATAACCAGCTCATCTCTCACCATTCAGGCACACATCAATAACACAAGCCTTATCACTCAAATTTCACGAACCCTCACAACTGCAACTTAACCTCACAAACCCTCATTACAGCTACTCAAAATCACGAATATCCGTCAACACAAAGACATCATAACGCTCACAAACAACACAGAGAATCAACGGATAGCAGAAACTGAAAAAAGAAATATTACCGGATACAAATGAAGAGAGGGATGACGACGACGTAGGTGAGATGACAAAGGGTTGAGTTCGACGGAGAATGAGATTTGGTTGTTCTTTCTTTTCGGTGTTTCCTCCTTCTGTTTGAGTGTCGTTTGAGAAGTGAATCTGAATCTGAATCGATGGTGAATCCGATGGCTGAAGAATGGATCCGGGTGAAAACCGAAGGAAGGGATGACGGTGGTAAATCAATGACTAACGGCGGTGAATCAATGAAAACCGAAGGAAGCAGAGGAAGATTTAACGGCGGTGAATCAGTTGGGAGAATCAATGGCTAAGAAGGAAGCAGAGGAAGATAGTGTTTTTGTTTTTGGCGGTGAGTGGATGCGGTGAGTGGATGCTGGAAGATAGTGTTTTCTGAAAATGTGTTTTGTTTTTTTTTTATCAATTAATTAATTAATTCATTATTATATATAACATAGCGCTTTTTAATAAATGCTATTATATAGGTAGTCAACTAATAGCGTTTTATACAAAATGCTATCTTAAAGAAGTTTAATAATAGCGTTCTGGTACAAAGTGCTATCATAATTACATAGTCTGTATTATATAATAGCGCCCGATTAAAAAGTGCTATTATAAATGTGTTTTTTCCATTTTAATAGCATTTTTTTTAAAAGTGCTATTAAATTAGGTGATACAAAAAATCATTTTTGGCGTAATGGACGTAATCCTCATAGGACCTTTAGACGATACCCTAGAAGGATTGTTGGAAATGGTAACTGTTGTACCCCAAAATTTTCCCTCCCATTTTTCATAGAAAACACAACCCTAGGGTTTCTCAGATATTCAAGTTGGCTCAGTAATCGATCAGACAGAGTTTCTTCTGTGGCAGTAAACCAACAATTAGGGTTTTTCTTGCAATTCTCAAAAGAAATGAATTCTCAAAGATCCAATTGGCTCTCACAGGTGTTCATGCTTTCTCAAGTTTACTGAAAAGACAGTGTTGGTTCTCAAAGCATGGTTGTTTGGGACAAGAGATAGAATTTAAGACTGTCATTTGGGACACTCATGTTTGTTTGATCCAGGTTAACCAGATAATTTGCGTCTTTTAAAACATTTTCTTGTTTAGGAAATGGAATATACAGTGCGTGTTTGTTTGGAATGCAGTTGCAAGATTACAGAATTATTGGAATTTAAATTATTAGATTGGAGCATTTTGTTTCAATTATGTTGATTGGGAATCTTTAAGAATCAGTTAAGATGCGAAGAGAAAATTACAAGTTATTGACAGTAAAGGGTTTCAATGGACACCAGAATATCTCATAAGACTTTCTCCTTTTTTTTCAAACATTGTTACAAAATAATTTGTTCTTTTAAATACTCTATGTTTTACAACTTATGGTATTTAAAAAATAAATTAGTACAATTGTTGAATGTTTCTCTCTAAATTACAAAGAAAATCTAAATGAATCTATGCCTAAGGTTGACTGAAGTTCCTTTGCTTCCATGCTTGCCACAGAGTCTCTTGCTTCCCCTGATTTGTCACATCCAATTATGCTCACATGAAAATAAAAATAAAAAGAGGAAATGTGATTAGTACAAAATTATTTGGGCATGAGTAAGAATTTTCAAAAGAAAAGGTGATATTCATCATTAAAGTTTGCAAATTGGAATCAGAAGGCCATTTTTAATTCATCACAATTTATTTTCTCTATTTGCAAATAACAAGAAGATTATTCTTCTTGGTTCACAAAAAGAAGAAATGTAAGTAAAGCTATCCAAACAAGAAAAAATGCAGCAAGGTTGTCCAAACAAACAAAATGCCCAAACAGCAGCCAAATGCCCAAACAACAGCCAAACAAATATTCCAAACAGAAGGCCCAAACAGCAGCCAAACAAAATTTCCCAAACATAAAAAATAAACAACAGTATGGCAATATAAAATGCAAACGAGGAAACAGTATAAACAACAAACAGCATAAGCTAGAGCAGGCAACAAAGGAAGTATGGTAATATAATAAATTAAGTTAAAACAAGCAGAAAACTTGTTCAATGAGCCAATTCATCATTTTCCATTTTTATTGCAAACTTTTCAGAAAAAAAGCAAAAGAGCAATTGACTTTCTTAGTGTCATTGAGAGAGAAGAGAGCAAAGAAGTCACCTAGGGATGCACAACCCTGCTGCCTTGACTGTCACAATTGTATAAAAGTTGCTAGAAAACAAAAACTACAACAAAAAGAGCATAAGAACAATATGCCAAATTCTTCAAAATTTGATGGTTTTCCCCCCATTTTGAATAAGAATTCAACCAAAGCAACATGAATATAACAGTAAAACTCTCAAGCATATGAGAGAGGAGATAGAAAAAAATTATCAAACTCAAAAAACTTGAACACAAGCATCCAAACTGTCAAAACCTGAAAAACCTCAAACCTCCAAAACAAAACTGTCAAACTAAAATCTCAAGTCTCAAACTACCATCAACCAAACCTGATCTCAAACCAACAGCAACATACAAACAAAAACCTCCAAACTGCAAAACCTGATAAACACCCAAAAACCTAAAACCTGCAACCTGTTAACAAACAATCACAAAAATCCCAAACCATCCTCAAATCTCAAACCTGTAACAAACTGTTAAAACCATCACAAAACTCATCAAACCTGTCAAACAGTTCAAACCAAAAATCCCAAATTGTCAACAAAATTAATAACCTTCAAAACCTGTCAAGGCCAAACTGTCAAAACCAACATAAGCTTCAAGCTTACAGAACCACCAACAAGCCTAAAAAAAGCTCAGCAAACCAAAAGTCTCAACTATCAAAATCCCTAAACCAGTAACACCATCAACAAAAACCAGAGTCAAGCTTATAACAAAGCCAAAATTCATCAAACCTGTCAAACATTTCAAACCCAAAAAACCAGAAAAAAGTCTCAAGTCTGAACCATCACCAATTTCACCAAAAACATATCCAAAATCAAAACAGAAAACCAATAAGACCTTCAATACTGTAACCTACCAAATATCCAAATCTCCAAAACCACAAAGTCTCAGCAACCATCATCAAATCAAGATCATCATCAAAACAACAAAAATCGTTACCTATCAAAAGGGACCCAATCCAGAAAAGCAAGGCTTTCATCATCATCTCTTCCCCCTCACAAATCCCGCCACCAAGGAGCACCGCCCTCAGTCTCACGATCCCCTTCCATTTCACAAAAAAGTTTCAAACAGGTATGGCTTCTTCACCTTCCTTATAAACTATTTCCTGCATCTCAATGGATAACAAGTTTGATTAACATAAAAAAACATAAACAAGACAAAAAACAACAAAATCGTTCAAGCTTTAATAACAACAGAATTTCACCTTTTCAAGAAAAATCCATTAGAGCTGGGTTAGGAGGTGAGAGAGAGCGCTCCGACAACAAAAATTTGGGAGGGAAGATCAGATAAAACAGTTTCGTTGTTTCTAGGTTTAAATCCGAACTTAGGGTATCGAAGAAAACGTAAATCATGGCGAGACAAAGAGGCCAAGAGTGTTTTGTTCATGAAATTAGGAAGAGGTGAGTGATAAGGTGAGAAGATGAACAAAAATGGAAGAGTTAGGATGAACAAGAGATGAACGAGAGAAGGTGAGAACGACGCCGCTGTAACAAAGGGTCAAAAACCCTAATTTGCTTTGAACCTGTAATCAACAACTAAACTGATTTAAGAGCATTGGGCCTTTTTCGTTTACAAACCCTTAAGCCCATTCGTATTGCCTGGTCATACACCCCTATTCTATTTTTTTTGTTAATAGCAAGGATAACACTTTCATTTGGGCCTCATTTCCATGTCCTTTAAGGCCCACTGTGTTTTCTCTTGTTTGCTTAATTTGTTTTTTCTTTTACATTTAATTTTTATTGTTATACTAATACTAAAAAAAACTTTAAAAAAAAACATTTTTAATTTTATTTAAGTTTTGTAAATTAATTTTTGTCATTTTTCTTTTTATTATTAAATTTGGTTTTAGATTTAGTTGTTATAATAAAATACCAAAAAAAAAACTAATTTAGTTTATTTGTTTTCTTTAGTTTTTA